TGTCCTCACGTGTACCTTCTAAAATTCTGGAGTTGTTTCTTTTTTGATATCTATTCTTCCTTCTGTTCTGTGATTCTACTTGTATGCTGTGCAGATTTGTTTATCTTTTGTTGATTTTCAAAGGCAACATTGACATCTTCTGTAGCTGCCTCTTCATGGTGGCTGCCATCTTGGGACTGGACCATGGTGAGAGGCTGTATCATTTACATTGATTCTCTGCCCAGTTCCACCAACGCTGAACCACACTTTCCACAGGAGTTTAATTTAATAGAGGAATCAGTTGTAGTAAAAAATGCATTATATTGCTAGCCTCTCTGCACACCCTCTCCAGAATATCCTACCCCTCCCCCTCCCCCCCCCCCCCCCCCCCGCAAAGAAATGCTAGTTTCTGGGGGGGAAAATAAAAATGTGTATGTTAACAGAATCTCAGACTGAAAAGATAAGCAAATATGATAGTTGCCTAGCCCAGTCCTCCCTGGTATATTCATTCCTTCAACGATGACACCGACAAATTCAAATAACCTTATAGAATACTTACAGTAACGGAAGCTCCCTATTGCTCAAAGCAGTCCATTTGAGGCTCCACAGAGCTGACTGATATGCCTACTGTGAGTGTTCCACTCTTGTGTCCTCAAAGAACCACACACATCTTATATGTGAAGGCCTATACATATGTATTTGAAGCCCCCACTGCTCAGATGTCCCAAAATCCTAGGTATTTGATTTCTAGGTGATAAACCACCATATAGATTCAAAAAGGCCAAAAGAGAAGCAACCTCAAGCTCCTTATCAGAAGCAGGAATGTCTTCAGTGTCTTCAATGTCTTCAATGTCTCTTCACCAGGCCACTCAGCTGTTCAGGAAGTGGCAGAAATTTCTAAAATGTTGTCAAGACAACCAAAGTCCAAATATAAATCTCTTTGGGATTCCACTCAGAAGTAGTTTTTAAGTGTACACCATACACACCCAGAGAAAATAATAAAAGATCCTCTCCTCTTTTTTTTCTTCCTCCTTCTCCTCCTCCTTCTCCTCCTCTTCTTCCTCCTCCTCCTCCTCCTCCTTCTCCTCCTCCTCCTCCTCCAATCTCTTTCTCTCTCTCTCTCCCCTCTTGCTTTTTGCCGGGGGTAATATGTGTTAAAAATACATACTGGGAAGCTTTCCACCTTTGAGATTGGAACAGCTGTTGCCTCAGTATTGTTTTCGTTAGTTTTTTGTGTGTGCGTGTGTTTTTTTTAACATACTTGGCAGTTTTTAAGGGAGTTGTTTTTAAGTTCCATGCTTTATAATACTAATTGAGATTACAGTGTGGGACAATTGGTACTTTATTGCAAAAACCTAGGGTCCTAGGTATCCAGCTAGAACCCCTATCAAACACACTCTCCTGTATGGTTAGTTTCCAATAGATGGCCCAACTTACCCCAAGAAAGGTCATTCACAAAAGCTTTGGGATAAAAAACGAGGAAGTACACCCATAAGAACAATGAGAGTCAAGAATTTATTAAAAGGATATCTAAAGAAATACAAGATGCTTGAGTCCTTCGTTTTTCCAACAGCACAGAGCATTCAAAGAATGTGCCACAGACTACTGTCAATTCCATGTGGGAGCATTCGCCAAAAGAAATAATATCAGACATACCCTGACATCAGGGCTCTGAAAGGCACAAGTACAGGTAGAGAAGACGTGCCATCTGGCCCACTCTCACTTCCACCTGCTACCAATTACCCTTTTGCCAGGAACCTCTGACCCCACCATGGAAGCAAGAGACTACCATGAAGAGAGATAAAAGTCTGCTCTACCCTAAAACAAACCTTGGAAGCACATCCCCAAGTAATCACTAAGCAATCAAAGTTAAAGATCAGGCACAAAAAAGGCCCCCCCCACACCTCCCAAATTTCTCCAGTGAGATAGCAAGAGTCCAATTAGGAGGCCCACATTTTCCATCATCTTCTCAAGGGAACCCAACAGAAAGTGATCCCAACAGATGGATGTAATTGCTAGGGTCTTGGTTATACTGAGACTTTAGGGAGGTGTGGCAGTGCTAAAAAAAAACAGGAAGCTCAGTGGCTAGCCACATGCAACACTTCACAGATCTCCTGACACAAACAGCAAAGGAGCTCAGGGTTCTTATCAAATTTTTTGAAATGACTTCTGGACTTTCGTAAGTTCCCGCCATTGACCCACAGAGTTCTCTCTCAGATCAAGAAAGCAAACCCAAGGCAGTTACAATTGTTCACCCAAATGCTCTCTCACCCCCCCCCCCCCAAAAAAAATCACCGAATTTGGGTGAACAATTGAGAATATAGCCTGTCACACATCTTATCCAGGACAGGACCGGCGAAACCTGGGGACTTAACAAATATTATTTTATGTGGATAATAAGGTCACTGGCCTTTCAAATAAGACATCCTCTGACCTAAGACTAAAACCTAGAGCCAATCTCAAAAAAATTTTTTAAATGCCATGAAAGTGGTGTGACATGATTGGTACGTCAAAGCCTCTGTTTGTTCAGAAATATCTTTCCTGCTCTGGTTTGGGATTGTTCTCCTTTTCCAAGCTCAAACTCCTACGTCAACAGAGTAGAGTTACTGCAAAGAACAAGCAAACCAGGGTGAGGCATTGTGTCCAGGACACCACTAAGAGTGTGGTTCATTCTCAGAGATAAGAGAAAAAGAAGTGAGCCCTAACCGGTTTGGCTCAATGGATAGGGCATCAGCCTGCAGATTGAAGGGTCCCAGGTTCGATTCCGGTCAAGGGCATATACCTTGGTAGTGGGCACATCCTAGGTGGGGAGTGTGCAGGAGGCAGCTGATTGGTGTTTCTCTCTTATCGATGTTTCTACCCTCTGTCCCTATCCCTCTCCCTTTGACTCTGTAAAAAAAAAAAATCAATAAAATATATTTTTTAAAAAGAGAGAGAGAAAGAAGTGAAGGGATTTCTCCCAGCTTTCTCATCTCCCAAGCTTGCTCACTATCACCTGGAACCATAGCTTGGCAGGAAATGGTACCAGATATCTCAGAAGATCATCTGATATCATCCTCTGCCTTCAAAGAAAAGATGTTATTATCTCCATTTTACAAAGGAGGTGACTGCGATACTTGTCCAAAACTGCACAGCTAGTGAGCGGGGAAGAATGGGAACTCGGTTGCTGCCTCCTAGGGCAGGGCCTTTCCTCCGATCTGTTCCCTTATAGAAAGACAGAGAGATTTATCAAACAGTGAACTTGAAAATAATTCATGCGATGGCTCAGGGCCTGTGCCATTCAAGGAGATGACAATGGAGAAAACATAAGGGGCGGGGGGGGGGGGGGGGGGGGGGGGGAGAGGCCAAATATTTCCCACATCGTTTGTTCTCTTGGCCTCGCCTGACACACACACAACACGTGTCGAAGTTGCTTCTCGGTTCCCTGGGACATGGCATTCCGCCTAAGTCTTGGGAGGCCTTCGAAGAGTCCGAAATGACTCCTCACAAGGCAAACACGGGATCCCTGGGACTGAGATCTGGACTACATTACAGAGCCTGGCAGACAGGGCCACCTCCCCCTGAAACACTGAGAAAGGTCAACAGAGGAGGCCCAGAGCAGCACCCCATTCAGATCCTGCTGGTGGCCGGAGGGGGGGGGGGGGGAGGGACGGGACGGGTGGAGCCTGTCACCCCTGCACAACCAGGGGGTTTGTGCAGGGGTGACAGGCAGTTTGCCAGATGCCCTGGGACTCGAGGGGAACCCGACAGCCCAGGGAACAAGAGAATTCTGGCATAGGAGACGGTCAGGCACCCCTCCTGCCAAAGGTTCCACAGGAGCCTCGTGTGGCCCAGACTGAGCTGCTAACAAGTGGATCCTCGCCTAGAATCATTTCCTCTTTATACACTTCCTGCACATCCATCTTAACAGACCAGTTAGCCTCTCTTTGAGGCGAGTAAGGACGGGGCTACCCCCCACCAATACTCCTGTTTCTGGAAATGCTTTTCTTGGGACCAGTGGTTTTCTTTGCCAAGGGCACAGTACAATTAGGCACGGACGCCAAGGCTGCTGAGAGCACCGCTTGAAACTGGCTCTTTCAAAAAGAAATCATCCTGGAATGTAATACTGCCCCCACCCCACCCCCAGGAAAGGAACGAAAAGGAAAGAGAGGACCGTTAACACTCTCTGAGCTCCCTGCGGCCGCTTTCCAGGCGCTGCCCTGTCCTCTGCCCGGTCCGCCCGGACCCTCGGCTTGGGAGTTTGTTTTTGTCTTTGTTTCTGGCTCCTCTCCCGGTTCTCCGGGCTCAGAGAGACCAGTTTGGAAGGGGAGCGGGTGACACGGGGCTCCGGGGCACAGAAGTTTTCCAGGCGCAGCACTGGCGGCCCCGCCGGCCGCATCCCCCCGCGCCCCCTCCTCCGCCGGCTTCTCTGTTTAAAGTCCCCAAACCAGCGGCCCCCGGAGCCACAGGGGACCCGGCGCCCTGCCCGGTCCGAGGAACTTAAAGTTTCCGCCGGAAGGAAATCATCAAAAGCGAAGAGAAAGCCCTCCACGGCCGCGGCCCGGGCTTAGTTGCAGCGGAGGGTCCCAGGCGGCCCGGCCCCGGCCCCGCGAGGCCCGGGCGGACCCCGGGCACCGGGCACCGGGCACCGGGCCGGCAGGGGTGGAACGAGTAGAGAAAGCCGATCAGGCAGGCTCGGACCCGAACACCCAACAGAGCTGGGACGCGGCGGGGTTGCGGGGGTGGGAGGAGGGCCAGGGGCCCCGGGATAAGGTGGGCGCACGGGCCGGGGAGGGCAGGGGACGAGGGGGCGCGGGGGACGCGGGGGGCACGGAGACTGCGGGGGCGCAGGGGCTTGGGGAGCGCCGGGAAGGGCGAAGGTGGGAAAGGGGGGCGTACAGACCAAGGGGGGGATCAGGGGATCTCGGGACAAAAGGGGGTGCAGGGGACAAGAGGGGTGCAAGAACGACAGGAAAGCAGGGGGCGTGGGAGGCGCTCGGTCGAGGGTGCCCCCGGCCGGCGGGCGGCAGCGCAGGACTCACCCCGAGAAGGCACACTTTGAGCTCCCGTATCGCCATCATGAGCTCGGGACCGGGCCGGGCAGGGGCTCAGCATCCTCCGGGGCCCCGGCCGCGCCGCGCCCACGCCGAGCCCGCGGCCGCCAGTCCCCGCCTCCCCGCGCGGCGCCGCCGGCGGAACCTCCCGCCGCCGCTGCTATTTCTGGGCCTGCCGGGCCGGTCACGTGGCCAGCGGCTCCTCCCGGGGCCCCGGCCCCGCTCCGCGCCCCCGGCTCCCGGGAACGCCCCCGGCCCTGCGGCGGGCCTGGGGGTGCCTCCTGCCCAGGCCCACTCAGCGGCCGGCCCCGGCTGTGCAGAGCCCGCTCTGGCATCTGCCTCCCCAGCCCGGACCGAAGGGATGCAGGGCCCCGGGGGTGGAAGGAGGACAGGACCCCACGACCGGCTGCGTCACTGACTATTCCCTTCCTCATCTAAAAAAAGGAAAAAAGAAAAAAAAAAAAAACAGTGGGTGCTGTCAGTCGAGGTCATTGACATGGGAGCATTTTGAAGTCTGTCTGTGTCCATCCCATCGGTAGATGACATTAGAGGTTCCTGGCAGAAAGGAAGCCAAGCAAGAGGCAATGGTGAGGATGAGAAGAAGGGGTTCACTTTTTTTTTTTTTTTTTAATATATTTTATTGGGTTTTTACAGAGAGGAGGAGAGAGGGATAGAGAGCTAGAAACGTCGATGAGAGAGAAATATCGACCAGCTGCCTCTTGCACACCCCCTACTGGGGATGTACCCGCAACCAATGTACATGCCCTTGACCGGAATCGAATCTGGGACCTTTCAGTCCACAGACCGACGCTCTACCACTGAGCCAAACCGGTTTCGGCAGAAGGGGTTCACTTTGCAACCCACATTCTCCTGCAGCTCCTGACACTGGGGCTCAGTTGACCTCCCCTGTAGCTCTTTGCTCTCAGCCCTGAGTTGGTTTTTCTGTATGTAGTTGAAAATGGAAGCAGTATTCTATTCCTCCCTCCAAAACAGGCCTATAAGTGTCTGAAAAGGAAACACACATTCTAGAGAAGAAGCTGCCTCGCTCAGTACAGAAAATGCTCCAACCTGCCTGGGCAGACAGACAAGACACCCAGCCCTCAGACTGGAGAAATATGTGGCTCCAGGCAGACCTGCATCCTTTCTTAACCTGTAAACGAAAAGAGGTTCCGGCTGGAGACAGTCAAAGGCTTGTGGGAACTTCCCTCTTTTGTTCTCCATGCATGGCTCAGTGTGCCTCATCCACTCAGACGACTACTTGTTGCTGCTAGAGAAATGACATCTCTCACCTGAATAATTCACTGGCATTTCTAGTTGGAAATACTATGGTTTAAAAAAAAACAAGCCTAGCCGAAACCGGTTTGGCTCAATGGTAGAGCGTCGATCTGCAAACTGAAAGGTCCCGGGTTCGATTCTGGTCAAGGGCATATACCTTGGTTGCAGGCACATCCCCGGTAGGAGGTGTGCAGGAGGCAGCTGGTCAATGTTTCTCTCTCATTGACGTTTCTAGTTCTCTATCTCTCTCCCTTCCTCTCTGTAAAAAATCAATAAAATATATTTTAAAATAAAATAAAATACAAAATTTTAAAAAAGCCAAATCTCTCTCTCTCACACACACACACACACACACTTCATGCCCTGTCCCAGTGGTCGGCCAACTCATTAGTCAACAGAAGCAAATATCACCAGTACAATGATTGAAATTCCTTTTGAGAGCTAAATTTTTTAAACTTAAACCACTTCTTCAAAATAGACTAGCCCAGGCCGTGGTATTTTGTAGAAGAGCCACACTCCAGGGGCCAAAGAGCCGCAATGTGGCTCACTAGCCACCGTTTGTCGACCACAGCCCTATCCCAAACTCTCAGGCCTTTCTCCTGGCTTGCCAATTTTGGTCAAAGACATTTCCATTCCCCCAGCAGACCACCCACCTTGGTTATCTGGCTTTGTTCCCATTGAATCCAGGGAGGTTAGGAGCACCCAAGTAGCCCAATACACTGGAGACTTCTGAATCAAAACCTCCAGAGAGAAAATCCTAGAAGCTGAGGTCAAAACAGGCCACAAGACAGAGAATGGGCAATGCGAGAGGGCAGGGCGGGGCGAGGATGAGCAACCGACTCCGCCCCGCAGGGCAGAGTTATCCCTAGCCCTCACCCAACCAATCAGGGTTAGCCGAGGCAGTGACATCACCATCGACCGGAGTAAACCCCTGGACTGGGCGAAATTCGCTCTCTCTTCCGCCATGCTGCCGGCGTGAGTGGGAAAAGAGCCCATGCTAGCATGGAACAGGCTCTTTTGTCTATTGCATCGGACTCGGCTCCCTGGTGGTCCTTGGGGATCACGAAGTCTGGGCGTAACAAATGAAATTCCCAGAGCAGCAGGGTCTTCCCTCTGACAGGTGCAGGCTCACTCACACAAATCTAAACTAAATTATCCACACACACACAAAAAAGTAGCCATGTACAAGATACAAGTCCTATTCAACACGGAGATTACTTTATCAGTCTCTGTCCTTGGTTTAGTGTTCTAAGTGAGGACAGTCTTCTATGTGGGCAGTGTGAAAGGAGGCCAGGCTAGAATTGCCCAGCCGGGTAACAATACCTCGCTGTCTTCAGGTTTATGGCGGAGAGAGGAAGTGCTATACAGTTGCCAAGGAGACATCATGGAAAAGCAGCTCCTGACCAAGGCCTTCAACAGGCTTCCCTAGCATCTAGCTCATCCCTGGAAGTATGACTTGAAATTCCATGTAGAAGTGCTTCCCTTTGGCCTTTCTTCTCTCTTCCCAAAAGCTGGTCAAATCAGAATGGAAGTCTTATCCATTGTCTACACCCAATGGAATGAGTGGGAATTCAAGAAATTGCAATTGGTTGCTGAGGACAGGACCATCTCCAGACAAAAATGAGCTGACATAATTTCTCTTCCATTCTCTTAACTCTTCTTCATGATTCTTCTCATTCCATGCTCTTCAACATTAACCTCGGTCTGAGATGCTTGTGTGCTTTCTAGGCTTTCGTGAAATAATCCCTTATTCAAGTCTTCTCCCCCCCCCCACCCCCCCGCTCTTGCCCCAAATTATACCCTATTATGTTTGCCCTGCTCTCCACCTCCAACCCTATTAAAAATCACCTCATTTGAGATGCAAATCAAAACAACAATGAGGTACCATCTCACACCTGTTGGAATGGCTATCATCAACAAACAAGTGCTGGCCAGGATGCAGAGAGAAAGGAACCCTCTTGCACTGCTGGTGGGAATGCAGACTGGTGGAGAACAGTATGGAGTTTCCTCAAAAAACTAAAAATGGAACTCCCATTTGACCCAGTAATTCCTCTTCTAGGAATATATCCCAAGGAAACAGAAACATTAAACAGAAAGGATATATGCACCCCTATGTTCATAGCAGCACAATTTACCATAGCTAAGATTTGGAAACAGCCTAAGTGCCCATCAGCAGATGAGTGGATTAAAAAACTATGGTATATATACACAATGGAATACTATGCTGCTATAAAAAAGAAGGAATTCTTACCATTTGCAACAGCATGGATGGAACTGGAGAACATATGCTAAGCTAAATAAGCCAGTCAGAAAAAGATAAATAGCACATGATCGCACTCATTTGTGGAATATAATGAACAACATAAACTTATGAACAAAAATAGAATCAGAGTCATAGAAGCATCAAACAGACTGACCAATCTATGAGGGAAGGCAGTGTGGCGGTGGTGGGGGGAGATGGGGAGAGGATGATGGGGTAAGAGATAAACCAAAGGACTTATATGCATGCATATGAGCATTACTAATGGACACAGACAGGGAGGGTGGGGTGAGGGCATGATCTGAAGGGTGGGGGCGGCCAGAGAGTGGTCAATGGGGAAAAAAGGAGACTTAATGTAATATTTTAAACAATAAAGAATTTAAATTATTATTTAATCACCCCATTTGAGTCTGATTCTGACCAGGCAGAATGCTGTGCTTTACCAAGAGGCAATCCTACTCTGTCAACCAGACCTCCTTCATGATCTTATACTCCCTCCTCAGCCAGGTCACCCTTGGGGACTTAAAAACTGGTCTCAAGAAAAACCTGGTCTCCATGATCAACCCAAAGTGGCACATTGACCCACACCGGGAAAGAGGGAAGAGGTCTGCTATGAGGCATATTTGGGAGTGGCAGGCCCTGGATAGCTCTCAACTTTTTAAAGACATAATGTTCTCTACGAATGCTATTATTATACTCAGATTACTGTAGTAAGGGCCTATCCTGACTCCTATTCTCTGGAATTTTCTGAAAGTATGAAGAGGTTCTGATAGGACTTCAGCAGGGTTAAAAATTCAATGGTACATAACTAAAGCAATAGAAAATGCAAGTTATTCTTATGAGGCCTTTGTAAAGTAAAAGGTCGTTGTACTAATTCAGACTTCTGCTTTTCTGCTGCTTTAACATCTTCAGTGGTGCCATACACGAAGAAAGCACACTCCAGTATAGCTTGCCCAAACTAGCCTCTTCCCTGCCCACCTGGTGACACCCTGTCCTTTTTCAAAGACCTGCTCAAATTTCATCCGCTTAGAAACCTCTACCCCTGAGCTTGACTATACTCTGCTAGCATTTTTCTTAGCATTTACTGAACATAAAGTAATTAGCAATTAAAGCCCTTTTATAAGAAGTCAGAGTCCAAACAGATACACAAATGTAATTATCTGTCCATATGAGAAGTACCCATAGATTAAGAAAGGATCATCTTTGTATCACCAGGGTTTTCAAATGACAAGACTTAAAAAAAAAAAAAAAAAAAAAAGAGTGAATAGAAATGAATCTTTTTTCTCTGTCTACCTAGGATTTTTTCTAGAAAGATCTTTGGACCCATACGCTATTTAAACAAGCCTACTATTTTGTAGGTCTCTATGCCTAGGAGACCAGAGTCATCTTCATGATGTTTTAACATCTGATAGCTCAATTGATGTTTCTTTCTCTTCAGATTTAACCCATTGTAATAATTACTCAAAGTCTGCCTACACCTTTTGGGGCCACC